TGTTTCACTTACCGACCTTTGCTTTGCGACCCGCGGATCAGCTGTTCGGCGGGTCCAAAATGGCCGCCGGAACAGCCGAAATGGCCGCGCGCAGCGTTTTCACCCCCTTGGTAAGCGAGGGGAGGGCGCGAAAATGGCTGCTGGCTATGGGAAGACTTCGCTAAACGGTGAGTTTTCAGCCGATTTGGAACATATTAAACGATGTTTAATGCGTTCCAATGGGCTTTTCTGCCCCGCTCAGTGATGTTTCACACAGCGAGGGTTAATCCGGGACGGATTAACCTCGCTGTGCGAGGCACCACTGGTAATCAAGATTAGTTCTTTTTGCTATCCAAAAAATGTCCCAGTTCTGTGAGCCAGCCATATTTACTACAAAGCCCAGTTCTCCACCTCTTCCATAGTACTCTTTAACAAATTTAATAGAAGACTTAATGTCCAGTAGCCTTTTACTTGAAAATGATACATTCTGCTACCTTTGTTTTAAAAGAAATGGGTTACCTGATAATATCACTCTTTTGCCATCTTTCTTTCCTTTTTCAGCCCTGTAAAACATACATTCATGATTTTAGAAGTGTTTGTATAATGGAGAGACCACCTCACTATGACTTCAGAAATATTTAGCCAAAGCATTTTATTTAAAGAAAGAGAAACCCCAGTTTGCGATATTGATGCGCAACATATATCTGTGCTATACCAGATATTCATGATGTTTTTAGGAAACACTATAAAACCTTTTTTGATTCGTGACTATCTTTTATAAGAGCTAAATAACCTGCAACCCCCCCAACCACATTCGTATAAAAAGGCAATTTAATAGAGTTAAAACATCCCTTCTCGGTAGGTAGAGACTTCTTTCTCTCTCAAAGGCCCTGTTTCTCAAACATACACATACACACTAACTTTAATATCTGGTTCCGAAAGGCCAAGGAAGAGATTAGTTAACAATGGCTGCAACACATATAAGGCCATCCACAGTCCCCACCCCCCCAAGAAACAGTTTGCGACCCCCAGGTTGAGAAACACTATTCTAGAGCAAGAGTTTTCAAACTATTCCATAGGCCATATAAACATTTATGACAGTCTTGATGGATTGTACAGTAAACGTTGTGTTGTAGAAATCATGCATAACTAATATTTTGTGAAGCTATATGAAGCACAAACAATTAAAAAATAAAGAAGACAAAAATGTTGTGGCACCTTAAAGGCTCACATTTTCTTTTAATGTGAGCTTTTGTGGACAGATCCACTTCCTCAGACAATCCAGTATATTTTTGTTTTTGGATTACATCTGTTTGGGAATTCTGGAAGTTGTAGTCCAAAACCAAGTATTTGCACAGCTCTAGGAATCAGTAACATCTCCACATGGATTATATATAGGGAGCACAATTGTAGCAATATTTTCTACTTTCTAAACCTTACTAAAGAGGGACGTGGTGGCACTGCGGGTTAAACCACAGAAGCCTCTGTACTGCAAGGTCAGGAGACCAAGCAGTCATAAGATCAAATGAGGAGTGAGCTCCCGTCGCTTGTCCCAGCTCCTGCCAACCTAGCACTTCAAAAGCATGTAAATGAGAGTAAATAGGTACCATCTCGGTGGGAAGGTAACGACATTCCATGTCTAGTCACGCTGGCCACGTGACCACGGAAACTGTCTACGGACAAATGCTGTCTCTACGGCTTGGAAACGGGGATGAGGACCGTGCCCTAGAGTTGGACACAACTGGACTAAATGTCAAGGGGAAACTTTACCTAAACGTAACTAAAATCAGCATGACTTTTGAAGTGCAACATATTTTACAAGTAAGCCTCATTCAGTTCAATGGAGCCTACAACCGGATAAGTGAGTACAGAATTGCAGACTTAAGATACAATCTTATACCCTCTTACCTGGGAGTAAACCCTACTATGGACTTATTTCTGAATAAACATGTCAAAGCGTGTAATCTTCAGTGTTTACTATTTACTGGATTATGGCCAGTGTTAACATAGTGTTTGCAGGGGGGGAAAGAGGACCTTATATTTTACAAATACTGTTCTAACTACAGTCAGCACATTAACTTGTGGATGTATCATTGCAAATAAGATTCAGAGTCACCCGTTATGTTTCCTCCATCATTGCATTAAAAGCAATAAAGGAGCTCCTAGCAGTAGCCCTGCTGTTCCTGTTTTCTCTGAGGATAGCATTAACCATGCTGTGCATAATTAGCTACAGGGGATAAAGTCTGACGGGGTTCTTCTGGGTCATTAGTGCTCATCTGGTATAGGCTGGCTGGTAGCGGTTTTGTTGGTGTTTGCCTGAATTGTCAAGAATGTTCCGCCTCTGAAAATATCTGTGATGCATCATCATAGTCAACGGGCAGCAAGCTCTGCTACAGGCTGCACTCCAAGAATCATTCTTGTGCCGAAATTCTGTCTAGCTCCACCCTTCAAGGAAGTCCCACTTGGATCAAAGACATTGGTGGAAATTCAATACCATGAACCAAATTACAATGACTACCTTTCTGTCTTGAACTTACTGTACCACACATCAGCCCTGCTGTCTATCAGGCACTCTTCACATGAAAAACAAAATGTACTTGGCTAACCAGACCAGACGGACTGTTCTTTGCTCTGGCTCCAAGTAAAACTTTAACTTATGGAGAAAAGTCCACTCCTAAACGTAGGCCAGTTGATTTCCCAACTGGCAAGGTAAGCCTAGGGCGGGGTGTTGCTAATGGAATCAAAGCATTATGTTTTCCTTTCTGAATTCCAGATCACAATCCCGTTAAGTATTTACTTCTACGGAAGAATACCTAAGATTGCAATCTTGGTGCCAGACCAGGTGTAATTACCTCAGCAGAATGAATCTTTTTTTTTTTAAATTCTTACAACAACTTTGACAAATAGGCCAACCTGGGAGAGAATGACCAGCCAAAGGTCACCCAATGAGTTGCATGACACACTGGGGATTTGATTCCAGGTCTCCTAAGGCTAATTACTACACCACATTTGCTTTCAAACAGCAGCTTTTGGGGTAAAGGTCACAAGAATGACACAGGGGCAGAATAAAGCACCCTTTCTGCTCCATCTTGATTGGGAACAGAGAACGTCATACCTGCAATTAACACTCAAAGAACATATTCATTGGAGTTTGCCTTCACAGTGTGTTTGGTCTTTAGCATGATTCCAACGGCTGTATCCCTATTTATTTTTCCTGAATGTGATCCATTGGTTCCCAACTGGCCTGTTGGCCTTCTGTTTATTTGCACACTTTTAGAAAATATTTGTTGCTACATATAATGATGGGAATGAGTGTTTTGTGGGGGTTATGGTGCACAGACCATTTCTTGGCTAACACAAACTTGGCCTAGATTCCTGTGTTGGCATTGGCCTTTGTGTCTTTACAGCTCACATTTGAAAGAAGTGCTGCACAAATGACTTTAGGGCAAACACCCCCCATCTCCCAT